TGGGATAAACCAATTCTTCTTTTTGGGCAAAATCCCCTTTTTTCCTCCCCGGTTTTTAACTTTTTTTTCCCGGCCGGGGCCCCCCCCGCCCCCGGCCCCCCCCCCCGCCCCCCCCTGCGCGCCCCCCTCTAGCTGTTCTGTTCGCCCCTCCCTCTGCACGCCCTTTGGCTTTACTTCCTTCTCCCGCTCCCCCAGCCGCCGCTGGGCGGCCTTCGGCCACGGCAGAGCTCGCCATCGCCGCCCATCTTGAGTGGTTGCGATCATATTTTCGACGCAGAAACAATTATATCCCGTTTTCGGCGGACGTTGGGGGTAGAGCGTTATTAGGCACACCAAAATCAAAATCAAAATTGAGCTCTGATTGGTCTAAAAACTCATGCCTCCTGACGACGCCCTCTGATTTTTTGGAAGTTCCTCTCTCTGGGAAGAAGTCCCCGAGGGACTTTTTTTTTATCAAAATCAAAATCAAAGAGGCAAGGAGTTCAAGACTTCGAAAGCTTGGAGCATCTGCCGCGAGGCCGCTGCAAAGCAAGTGCGCGACACGACCTGCTGTACACTGGTCATAGAGGGGCTGTCGGCACCCTACAGCCGAGGCCATGGCCATTATTTGTAGCCAGAGGACTCTGCTCGCCGGCAAGCCCAAAACCGGGTCGGCTCGTTGGGTGCTCGTGGAGAAAATGCCGATCGTGACAAGCGGTGAATGGACTGATGATCAAAAACAGGGCTGCGTGGCTTTTTCGGGCTGTTCCGTGCGGGAGAGGGTAGTTGCAACCTTTTTCTCCACACTCAAGATACCCCAACGCATCTAAACTTGTACGAGGAAGATGGTGGGTAGAGCTACCTCCCGCCGCGTGGCATTGCTGTTGCTGTTGCTTCCTCCTTCAAAAAGTTACCGCTGGAAAACTAAACTGTGAGCAGACAATCGGCGCCAACCGCTCTCTGACGTGGATATTTTAGGGTCAACCAAAACGTTTTTCCCAACACGCACGATAACCCACGGTAACAGACCTTGGGCTTGAAATATGGAGCAGAGAGGTACCTCCCGCCGAGTGGCGTTGCTGTTGCTGTTGCTTCCTCGTTCGAAAAGTTATCGGTGGAAAGCCTAACTGGTAACAGTATAAATCACCGAACTTGAAGTGACCGTTCGCGACCGTTGGCATTTTTGCTTCCACACAACCTTTTATTCCGGCGCCTTCGGCTCCTCACGGCGCCAAACCTTGGCATTGCCCAACAGCCCATGGTACCAGCTCCTTCCGGATACCGTTCTTGAGGCAAGTCGTTGAGTATTTGGCGAGATATCGGCTAACACGTGAACAGAAGAGCGCAAAACCTACCCTAGAAATATCACCGCTTCGCTGCTGGCTCTTCCCCTGGCGCCAGGTCTTTTCGATTTTTCGCCCCATCCGTCTCCTATCCACGTTCACATGGTCGACCCGTTTTTTTCAGTTTTCCACGATAACGCATTTTGATTTTGATTTTCGATGCTTCGCTAATACACGGTCTTAGAACTCTCGTTGGCCGCACAAAACAATGCCGACGGCAATATCTGAGGGGGGGGCAGTGACGAAATATACTGAAATTACAAGGTCTCCCTTCGGGACGTGGGTGTCTACCCTCCCTCAGGTGACGCAAGGCCACATTCATTCTTACAACGCTTGTATTTCCGCACAAAACATCGCGCACGTTTTTATTCTACATTCGAGCCAGCTCGAGCGGACAATATTTCGGCAGCGAAAACTCAGACTTGTATGATGTCGTTGATTGATGATGGCAGATTTCCGACGAGAACCGAACTTGAAGCCGAAACAACACCACAAATGGGACATGTTCAACACTGCGGCTGGATGCATACTCTCAGACTTGTCTACACTTGGCCCGCAGCGAAGTGTAGTAAACGTAGGTACTGCTGTTGGACAATGCGATGACACGAAGAGTCACGACCATGAATAATCGAATGAATGAATGAATGAACAAATGAAAGTGGAGAAGCAAGGGGCAAATATTTCAAACCGTCGTATTTGATGGGTTTGATAGGTTTCAGAATTGGTTCGCCAGGCTTTGTCAGCGCGGAACGCGTCCCCGGGGTTTTGAGCCAGTTTTCGCAACTTTGGCCGTCAACCACACGCGCCACGGAGGCCTACCGAGCTCCGGGCACGGGCGTTAATGTGCCGACGAGCCTCCTGCGTGCCCCTGAGAAGGAACCGCGATAAAAGACTCGCTGCCGCGAGAGAAAGAAACGCGAAGCATGAAAAGTGACCAAATCTTATATGTACATATGTAGTGTACCAAGTGCACGTCCATGAAAAGTATTTTACTCCGAACTCCCTGCCGCACAATCCCGGACTGTTGGCTGCTCTTTTGTTGCTGTGTGGTACCCCCGCGTGCTTACAGCTGGCAGCCTGCAGCACTGTCGTCGATTTCGTGTTCATGAGTCTGAGCGCTCCAACATGCACCGTCGAAAGCAAGGCGGCTGTGTCTTCATGATACACACACACATCGTTTCGTGCAGCAACACGTTGGAACCTCGGACGGTTGCACCCTGAAGGACTCCTCACAGAAGAAAGTTGAACAGAGAGATACGTTCCATCCACATGGTGGCCATCCAACCAATACCACTGCGGCACCCGCGCACGCGGGCGGCAAGTCTGTACCACCAGCAGCCTGCAACAGCCTGCGAACAGCAGTCTACCGTAGGTTGCATAAGATATCACACCCCCTGGCCCGAAATTCAGAGCTCGATTACTTGACAGGAAAAAACCATGACGGTGCCGAAAATGGAGGCGTTGGAACCGTCTCGTCCAGAGCTTTCCGACAACGTATCCTTTGATTTCGGCATCCTCTTCGACGTGGAGTAATCGAGCTACCTATGAAAATCGTTCCAGGGGGTGTGGTATTTATGCAACCTACGGTATTCCGCCGCTCTGCCATTGTCATACAATACACGCATCGTCTCATACTTGATCCAGAGTTGGATCATCGCTGGAGTACCCACAACGCGCATAATAGTGACCGCAACGAAGGCAAGGGGAGCATATACACAGCGACAGCAGTAGTGCAGGCAGCGGCAAGCCGGTGTGTGTTCAATCATGCACGCCATTCCAACTGCAAACACGTACAGCAGTTACACCCACCTTCCGACCCGTGTTGCCCTTGTCCGTCGCTCATCACTGCTGTCCACCACGCACAAGGACCTCCGCGCACCTCCAAGCCACCCGCTGGCGGAAGCATGCGGCTCAGCCCATGTGCCACAGCGAGAGACGAGATGACCGAAGCTGTCGGTGCCCTTTGGATGCACCGCGATCGTGCAGAGCACAGCTGCAAGTTTCACCTTCCCGATGCGGCGGGATTTCTTCTTGACTTGACGATAGCCGGTCACCCTACTGGAGTCCCACATGATGTATAGACTATGATGCTTCCCAGCGTCCAATGGCCTCAAGCATGCAGCGCGGCCATCCTAGCGACTACGACCCTCTCCCACAGTTGCCACACCAACCACAAGCTCCTACCACGGAACGAGAGCAGACGCAGCGGTGGCTCCGGCGACAGAGATAGCTGCTGGGCACGTTTCTGGAGTTCAGCGTGGGGACTCGCAGATGGCAGCAACAAATGTGCATGTACCCAATATTATGTCAATCCGCACGCTGTGTCATGTGTCTCATTTGGAGCCGGACCGGAGCACGGAGCATAGAGAGATCGGAGAGCAAGAACGTCTCTACTCTCTTACTGTCGAGGCAGAATCAGGCACAAAAGCCAGATCTCTGGGATTAGCATCGTTGAGTGGTGGCATCGCGACAGAAGGAGAGGTCTCGAGACAACAGACACATCACCGCGGTGCTCCAGATCTTCTTGGTAAGTAGTGAGTATTTCATGTGCGTATTATGCGTATGCATACACTTTGCCCATGATGGCTATCATCACCGTGCCAATGGGCGCTGGATCATGCGCACGCTGCAGCTGCATCAGGTTTTGCCTGTTCAGCGTGTTTTCAATGTGATCGGTGTACATTTTTTTTTGGCGGACGAACCGATCTTGGATTTTTGACTGATGTTTCAAAATTCAAAAACGTACACTTCAAATGATTACGTAAATAATACGTGTACAACAAGTGTCACTGGATGGATACAATCTCACACGAGCCGCAGAACACGTAAGACCAGTTAGTAGACGCTGGGCAAAAAAATCCGTTGGTCGTTTGTCGTACGCACGTACGCAGCAGAGGGTTGTGAAGTGGTGTGTGTTTTCTCCACGAGCACAAAAGTATCTGTAGTTTAAACCTCTCTCTCCCAAGCTCCACGAAGAGCGAAGACAGGCCCTCCAAGCTTCAGACTCAAACTATGGGTTATCCGGATTGAGCTCGAAGCGGGTCTCCGGCGCAAGGCCAGGGGATCGACGACCCGTGTCTCCGGGTTGATCGTAGGCTTGTCGGAAATGGGCTACAGCAACGGGCACCTATTGTGCCTGCGAGGTGACATTTCTTAGCTTCGCCCAATATGTCGTCTTGGTCTACGGCGTTTCAATAGAGCCCCCAAGTGGGTCCGTTCTTGAATCTTTCTCAGGTACATACTTGCGCGCACCTACGTAGCTGACCCGAGAATCTAATAAGTGACCGTGGTTGTCGCTAGCAAAGTTGGTTTTGCCGAGCAGCCGCCGACAGTCAAATAAGCTTTTTTCTCCGAAAGGATCACACCAAACCACCGTTTGAAGGCATAGAACAGAACGGGCAAACACTTCCAATGTCACAAGAGGGTTAGCCCTCGCCGTCGCTATCATTATCCCACTTTTCGTGTCAACGAATTGAACCGTAGGCGAGCAGAACGACTTCGCAAGGGAGCGCGCCAAGTTTCCTTACGGATGTCCCGGCGATAGCCAAGAAACTGGTGACGACACGGTGCCCTTCGCCTTCCCGTTCCTGGACAAGATGCGCGCTGACGCCGAAGCCGCCGCCGCCGCTCCCCCAGTTCCAGCCGCTATTTCACGCCTCTCGGAGTGAATAGATGATGCGTAATAACGAAACAGAACACGGCGATCGGCACAAGTCGTCGAACATGCTTGGGTTAGTCGAACAACCTATGACTTTCATCCTGCGCCTCGCGAAGAGCGCGCCTTGGTGCCGCCGCCGCGAGCCTGAAGACGAGCGCCAACCAATCAGGGGTCGCACAGGCATGTATAGCCTACGTGCCTTGACTTTTTGACGGGAGAAGAGCTAAGCGAAACGTGGAATATTTACACCTCACCGGCGTTCGAACTCCAACCACGTTTTGCCGACGTTTAACGGTGGGGTGTGCTTGCTTTCGAGTGCACCCAGTTGAATTGGTCTGACACTACCGTGTCTGTACCTGTTAGATTGACAGGTTTCACCAGTAGTGACAACCGAAACGGCAAGATCGGCGAGTAGAAAAATACATCAAGTCGTTGCACATACCAATCAACGGTGAAGAAGTTTTGCCCAGTCGTCCAAGGCACGGTAGGCGCAAAGGTGACTCCTGTTGAAATCTCTGGCACGTTGTTCGAACGTGTGCACTCCTTTCAGGTCAGATCAATCCTGTCGATTTTTTACGTCCATGGGACAAACTTTTTACGTCTACAGGGTTATCGGCCCCGCTGTCTTCCCACCGCCGTGGCCTGCTAGCTCCTGCGCCCCTTAAACAGCGCAATTCGTCTGTAGTGCCGGTACCGGCCTTGTTGAGGAAACCTCAAATACATATTAGCAGGTGCAGGGGGTAATTCTGAATGAGACCCTCTGAATGACTGGTCAAATTCCCCTGCTTTATTGTAAGCCGCCTCATACCGGGACTGTACTGCGGACGATCCTGTCTGTTCTTCTTTGTTTCGTCCTGCCTTACTTTGCCTTATTCTTAGGGTGGACACTCCTGTTCCGATGGGCTCGTGGCTCCTGCCGCGTGCTCCTATTTTGCACAGATGTGTGATGACGCCACCGACCACCGGGATCCTCGGAGCGGATCTCGTTCTTCATGGAAGGTTTGTTCGGGCTCCTTGTTACTCGGGGGGGTAATATTACGCGTGGCAGCCCGCACTCGCCGACCACTGTCTACGGCAGTCAGTCGTGCGCGTGTGTGTGGGGGGTTACCCTTTTCCCGCCCCCCCGATCTTTCTTTGTGGTGGTACAAGCGCCTCCAACTTGTGTATTGGATACATGGTTGCCGCACGTCCGAAACTCATCATTGGACGCACGCGGCACGGTGTGGAGAAAACATTGAAGTGAAGGGCACGGAGAAACGTGTGCTGCGTTTGAGGGTTAGCTAATGTTGACGAGATCTCGACTCTGCGGTAACAACTCGCCACGCAACCTACCATAAGTCGTGCCGTTGCAGTAACCTTTTCGGCCCTGACGTTGCCATATCTTGCGCCTGGCCAGCGGTCATACGGTTCGAGTTCCCTGATGTCGGATCTTATTCCCCTGCCTTTCTGGTGGCTCTTTGTCACCCGCGATTCAAGAGACCATGACTCAGAGTACAAAAGCGAACCGGTCGATTTCTTGCGAACGATATTCAGATTTGCGAATACGAATTCGGTGGGGGAAACACTCCTTCTGGGTGCCCGCAACAGCGTGAGCTTTTAGCCAGTCGTCCATATGGCTCTTTGGTAGGATTTGTCTTGGTTTCTTTTTCCACTTTCCCGCTGTGCAGAGCGATTTCTTGTTGTGAGGTTGCGTACATTTTGCACTTGGTGCCCTGTAGGGATGAGTTAAATTGAACCCTGCGCTCCCTGTCTCCCGTGCTCTCTCGCTCTCCTATTTTATCCGCTTGCCGCCCACTAGAGGCCGAGGCGGGGCCCGCCGGTTTGGACGCCTACACACGCGAGCACAAGGTTTGCGATGACAAGAAGTTTCCGCCCACAATCTTGCCGCAACACACGGAAGAACCGACGAAGCCCAGCCCAGAGGTCCGTTTATCTGTGTTTCCCCCGTCGATTCGTCTTGCGTTTTGAGAGATCGTAGGTGCTTCACGCCTGCAACAAATGCTGAAATCAATCCCTGCTTCTCTTTGAGTACAACATTCCCTCGCCAGCTGAACCGTGTTGCTTTGTATCATGTGGGTTGCTGCTTCCCCCTTTGGTCCTCATTGCCACTCTACCGCCAGAACCAAGCCCGCCAGGAGATATGCGATAGGCTCGTGAGCGTCATCGATGAGATGCGCTCCGTGCTGATGGAAGTTCGCGAGAAAGGGGGTGGCGGCTCTCTTACCACAGACCTCGCCGCCTGCGCCAATGTGGCGCTGAGTCCGGTGACCGCTGGGACGTCGGCGTTCGGGAACATGCTTCACCTTGAGCGACCCTTCGATATCCCGCTCAAACCCGCCGGGGTGATGAGCCCTTTGGCCAAGACGGTGGGTCAGAGGCGGGACCTTTTCTTGTATATCCATTCCCTTTCACGGCACAAATTATCGTGATCTGTCTCGGAAGTGGCGATTGCTTTAGTCCCTCTTTTTCGTCGCTGGCTGTTACTTACAAGAGCCGAGTGTCTGTGTTGCCGGCCCATCTTGAGCCGGTCACGCCTCGTTTCGTTGGCTCAACAGCCAATATTCATAGGCCTATTGCATAGGCACGTCGAGCGATACCTTACCTGTTCCGGACTCCCTTTTTCGGATCTGTACATGAAGGAGCGACCGATACCGGTCGTTTAGACAAACACATGTAGGACGATTTGCACCACTTCAGTACGTCTACTGGAAAATATTTCTTGATGCCGCCGTGTGGGCCTTTGTCAGGCACGGGAAAGCGGCAAGCGGAAGCCCAGAGCCAGCGACGGCAACAATGAACCCAAGAGGTCGGGATCGAAGGCTGGGGCGGCTGCAGAAAGTGGGGGAGCGAACGCGTCCGTATCGAACGCCACCGAGAGCGGGGGAACCGCGTCCCTGGACACGAAGAGGAGTAGGAAAAGCAAGGCCCTGAAGACGACAGCGAAGGCGGTCGTCAAGGGCAGCAGGCTCAGCAGCTGTGCTTCCAGCGCTGCATCCGAGGACAACAACTCGGACGACGCCGTCCTCGCTTCGCCAGATGCTGACGGGGACACCGCTACTCCGTCGACTTTGGTCAGCGGCGGCGTCCAGCAGAAGCAGCAGCAGCAGGTGCGGTCGGGCGGAGCAGAAGATCCCATTGCGCTTAGCAGTAGCGATGAAGATGCCGAGAGCAACGGTGCGCGCGGGTCGGCAGAGTCGGGAGCGATGGAAGAGAACGGTACAGCTCCCGTTCCCGCCCAGGCTTGTGCCTCGGGGGTGTTGGTTTACCACAACAGTGCCCAGCAGCAGCAGCAGCAGGGCTCGCAAGGAACAGGCACGGCTGGTGTACGCACGGGAACATCTGAGAACCCCCTTGGTGCACACAGGCGCCGAGCAACCCTGCATTGGCGACTCACGGCCGCGGCAGCGGGTGGTGCTTTCTCGTCTCCCCTCCTGCCCGCTGACAGGCGGGTGGGAACGTCCGGCAGAAACATCACGCCCCCTAGCTCGGCCGTGAAGCGCAAGGCCGCAGATTTCGTCACGTCGTCCGGGACTACAGCGAGCACCGGTGGTAGGGGTGGGAAAGACAGCAGCAGAAGTGGTGGGTCGGGGTCTGGTGCCGACTCCGATGCTTCTCCTCTAGGCTAGGTGCGAAACACGTGCCCTTTTGTCGCAAACCGCCCTCTTTCCGTTGAGCTAGAGGTGAGACGGTTGGCAGGTTGGAAGAGATGCCGCCCTTGTACTGTTTTAGGACCGGGCCCGAGTACACGTTCTTAGAATATGAGGGCCACAGCACACACCCAAACGTCATGTGTTGTGCAGCAGTCCGAGCGTTCGCTCGACGCGTTTGGCGCCCGGTGCTCTCTCTCTCTCTTCTCCTTTGTGTTTCTTGAGGGGAAATTGTATCACCCACCTCTCTGAGACGGAAACCGAGTTTGGGTAAGCACAGCTTTATGTGGGGAAGTTGTCTTGTGGTGCCCGCTCATACGGTGGTCGTTTTCCTCTCCCCACCTTGCCAGTCTGTCTTGCTATGTTTTGAGGTGTGCAGTATGCGATAATTTGTCCGTCTGGCTGAGGAGGAAGCGCGTCCTTTGGCGCGGTGACGACGTGATGCTTACGTTTTCTTGTCTTGTTCTGTTGTTGTACAGGCGTGCGTATGGTGCATCGGTGGTCATTTTGGTGTGCTTTTCGTTTGACGTATTGGCGAATTGTTTGACCCTTGTGCCGGCCGAGGCTAGATATTGTTGTAGGATGCACGCCCCTCCCTGGTGATGTAAGTTTGATAGGTTGTTCGCGTTGTACTCTGTGCCCTCCATTTTCCTCTCACACATGTTCTGTTATTGGAACGACGAATTGATGGCGATCCTCAATACAGTCGTGGGCCCGGTATTAGCGGTTCCCTGTTTAGCGGGATGCCCTGAATAGCGGTTATAAAATCTCGTGACACGGCTGCACCCCGGTTTAGCGGTTATATAACCGCTAAACCGGTCGTGCCCTCAATAGCAGTTATTGGACATGTTTGCAGCCACCAATAGCGGTTATCGGTTCAATTTTTGCGGGGATCTGCATGTAGTGCGCGCTTCGCTTGCACATACTCACAGCACAGCGACTTGGTCAGCCTGTTAGCTGGTCGATGCTCATAATAAAAAGGACACAGCGAGACACACACATACACCAAACGACGCAGGGTCAGAGAAGAATCGCCGAAAAATAGCTGAAGAAACGAAGATGAGAATGATGGTGGTGAAAGCAAGGATGATGATGGTGAAAACACTCCAAAACGAACTCGAGTGCAAGGTGGCAGTTTTCCCCTGTTGCTACCTACCGTGTCTGTCCTTACTTCGGGGAAAGCTTTTACCTGCCCCATGCCGCCCCCTCACGAGGTCCCAGTTAATGACATACAGAAGTGTTTTGTGTTTTCAACCGCGCTGAGACTGACGACGACGTCTTTTCATTGGTCAGCCGGTTAGCGCGGTCGATGCTAAGAATAAAGACACACACCATGCGGTGCGTGGATGGAGAGCTGTGCAAGCTTATAGATGCAGCACGAGTCCAAGCGGCACGCATGATTGTAAAGGTTGCTGTGGTGGCCGCATACACGGTATGTGTGTGGGGAGGTGGAGGTTCCGGATGAGAACGAGATGCAACCGGCGTACAACCAAGAAGGCGCAGAGTTCCCCTCACTTCTCAAATCCGCCCAAGCGCCAAGAGGTGTAAGGCGGCTTTCTAGCACCAGGCGCGCGGAAAGAAACAACTCGCGCTGCAGCTACACGACAACAGCCCCACACGCGGCTCTACTTGGGGCTAGAATCTCGAGTTTTTGAAGCTTCTTGACCAGACGGTAGCGCACGCAGAAATAGTGCGCACAGGAAGAGATCGCCAAAGCTTTGCGTAAAAGGGCGCGAATGACGAGGTTGTTGAAAGTTGTCCGGTATGTACATGGAGGGGGGCCCCTCCGACGACGACACGACGACCTAAAGCTAGGGCTAGATTCCACCGCACACTTTAACGGAGCGAAGGGCAGGGGGGTGATGTCGCCGCCACCACACTCGGAGGTATCATCGGATTTTGGCCAGCGTGGAGAGCGCGGAGTCGTGTGGCGTAAGCGAAGCAGCACACTATTATTTCGCAAGGCAAAAATGGCGTTCCTCGCAGCGCACGCCGCTCCTCCTGCGCGCAAGGCAGATACCAGAGATATTGCTTTGGGTGAAGAATGATCGATACGCGACACATGGCAGAAATGAGATGCTCAAGCACGTGGTGGTTGATTGCCATTGCGTTGTCACAAGTTTGTCTCATCACCTACTTCACTTCATTAGAGACGCGAACGATTTTCCAGTCTTGATGAGGGGCATACAGTCCAGAAGGGAGAATAGTCTTCGTGCTGTGGCGAATTAAAACGCATCATTAATGAGTGTGCTTGCGACGTTGTCCTTCATTGGCTCGTTACTTCTTCATCTGTACCTTCGTATGACTGCTGCAATGATATGCATGGCCCCATCAATATCAGCTCTCCATGCTGTTATTGTAGGGCAAAAATGGGCTTTTTCCCGGTTTATTTAGCGGTTCATGTCCTGGTTTAGCGGATAATGACCGCTAAATAAAGTGGTTTAGCGGCGATGCCCTGAATAGCGGTTATAAAAATTCGTGACACTATAGACCGCTAAACCGGGCCCACGACTGTATCATCATCTTGGGGTTCGTTCGTGTGGACGAAACATTGACTAGGCACGGAAGCCCTCCACACTTATTTATTTTTGTGTGCATTTTGCTTTTTTTTGTGTGTGTCTTTTATTTGTTTTTTGTCTTGTTTTCTTGATTGAGCTAAGTATTTATGTGTGCATGTATATATGAATGTACAGGAGGAGAGAGGTGAAAATCCGTTTCGAAGATATTGCACTGAGAGAGAGATGGAGAGCGAGGCTTCTATCCATCTTTATGTTGGCGGATGGATATTGCTGTATTTTTTTACTTAATTAAGTAAGAATGTCTTTGTTTTCTTCTTTGAATAACCGCATTATAAAATAGTGATGATAGTTAGTTGTTGTTGTTGTTGTTGTTGTCTTCACATCAAAAACCGTTCCGGTCTCCGCTCAGTACCTTCTAATGTCCGTACTGTTGTGGCGATAGAAAAACCCTTCGTCTTGATTGCCTTTTTATGCGCTTTTGTTTTTTTCATCATCATCAGTATGACCCAACGATTCCATACCTAAATGTATCGAAGAAATACCTATGGTATTTTTAGTTCATAGCCTCATCAATCAGGGTCACGTACTTGTACGTAGTACGCAATAATATATGTTGTTTGTTGTTGACGACGACGACGTTGTTGTTATTGTGGTTGTTTCTCGTCACAGTCAGTCAGGAAGAAGAATAGGTTCGCTCATTGAACACAGGAGGAGGAACAACAAGCAAGGAAGAAAAAGAAAGAAGAAAGAACGTGGTCGATGGTCAAAACACCTGTATTTTAGCTTTGATGCGCGCATGCCGTCCAAGAAGTGAGAATTAGTGACTGAACTAACAGTGTTCGATCTATCGAGTGATTGATGTGTTATTATTGTGGGATTTGAGTTAATTGTAGAAAGTGTCAACGGTAATAATATGGAGTGATTCTCTTAGGAAAGTGCGGGAGATGTAACTTGTTAAGGAGGACCCGATTCGCAGGGTATCCGTCGATTGACTTTTACCAGAAATCGGTACACCTTCGCCAATCATCAATCAATGGCGTCAGCGGCAGGATACTACATACTGGTTCGAATCTCATTGGGTGCACATTCTCCTAGCTTGGACATTTTTCCCATGGACACAAATACATGTGTGTCAGTCCTGATGAGAGCACCTCTCTCTTGGAGTCGATCCTAGGAGGACCCGATTCGCCAGGGTATCCGTCGATTGACTATTACCAGAATCGGTACACCTTCACTTCGCATATATATATATGCGCAAGGGGTCTCCTTAACAAACTCCCGATGGAAGGACAAAAAAAGAGGGGGCGGGACCTTTCTTTGTGGCCCCTTTTAGAGGAAGTGCCCCACCGAGTGAGTCAGAGAGAGCAAAAACCGTGCCCCCTCTAAAACCAGTCAACTAACAAAAAATCGAGAGGACTAAAATGCGAGACGTTCACGCGAACGATGAGCACCGAAGCGAAGGACCGGTGTCCAAATGCCAGACGACGCCACAATGTTATGGAGGAACAGAGAAATAAAAGAGGGAAGGGAGCAAGTTCGTTGCTCCGGGCTTCGGGTACTCAGAGTTGTTGTTTGATCTCTTGTTTAGCCTTCTTAGACCAGGTCCGCTCAGCGCCCACTCGGAGAGTGAGGGAGCGGGGCTGGGATTTTGATCTTCCTTCAAGCTACTTCAATACCCCTCAACGTCGCCAAATATCCATATCCAAAGAAAATTCAAAATATCCAATAAGCGCTCATACAACGTTCATGAAACGCTCGTACAATCAATGCAAATACACTAGTTGCTCCATTACAGGATCATGTCCCCCCTCTCTGTGCTCATGATGAGAGCAAAGCAACAGCAAGCACTGCTGTTTTTGCTTGCTGTTCCAAGAGATTATAAACAAATTATGAGTCTTCATCAGGGACTTACTTCAGGGATCGCTATGCGTGCAGTGCGTGTAATCCCTCAACAGATGATCTTCTCTCCGATGAATTAACACGACGAGCGCTCAGCGAGGGACAGAAAAAGGGGGGACGGGAGGCGGCAGACGCACCCACTACCTGGGAATCCCGACAATCCAGTCAATAATCCAGGAATCTCGAGTTTGAAATATTTTATCAATACAACGTGGTACCATATACATACATACATACTGATAAAAAAATTTTGGTTGAAGAGAAGGTGAAGAACCGATCGATACAAGACACACACATTTCCATTTTTCTTTTTTCTCTTTTTTTCTCTTTTTTTTCTTTTTTTCTCTTTTTCGTTTTTTCTCTCTTTTTTCTCTCTTTTTCTGTGCCAGATGGCCTTGTCTCTGCTTGCGTTGTGAAGT